GTACTAGTAGTAGTAGTCGTCGTGGTGGTGGTGGTGGTGGTGTAAGCTGAAATTCTCCGCTCTCGTCGAAGAATTTGAAGCGGAGGTGCATGAAGTTGCAAAAACCCGGCTCGAACGGCACGGCAAAGCGGTCACAGAGGCGGTACAGCAGCTGCAAGCACACCATGACCCAGCAAACCGTCAAGCCGTAGACGTGGCCAATCAACGAAGACAAAACCTGGGTGAAGCTTGCTGTCAGCTGTTGCCGCTGGTAGCTACACTGCCGGTGTCATTCATCAGTATATTGATCTCTGCGACCACGAGACTGACCGTAATGCAGGACGATTGTCTCTGATCCGGCAGGGTGGGTGCTTTGAGGCTTTACCTGGGGTCTAGAGCCCGACAGTCAGATAGTGAGCCATATGGTGGCCGTTGTAGTAGCCCGTATGGTAACGATTATACTGCCCTGATGGTAGAAAGCCTTCATATTAGAGCTGCGAGGTTTGCCGCCATGCAGCTACGTCAGTCGGTGCGCCACCCCGGGCTACAGCCATGCACTCCTCCAGAGCACCGGTCACCTCAAACCGAAGGGGTGTAGGGTTGTAGGGCTACAAACAAAGGGATAAGGGTTGCCATACCGTCTACTTTCCAGTTTCTCCCCCAAGAGCCGAACACGCTTCCCGATGCGGCCTAAGGCCTGTCGTTTTGACCAAGGCTCTTTTGCTAAAGTTGGGCCTTCTAGTATGATATAGTTGTTGTTAAGGTCCTTATATCAAGTTTCTTTAGAGCTATGACGCTGTCAAGTTGAGGGTCCCCTTGCACTTTAAGCGGGGATACTGCACCAAAACAGCCCAAACTCACCCTTGTCTTAATTGCCTTCAGTCTTTGCTTCTCCAGAATGCACGGTCAACCTCGACATCCCCGAAACAGCCCAAAACAGACCTTCCTGAAAGCCAAGTTTGGCAAATTCCGAGGCATGTTGCCGGTATCGTCGCCAGGAGGAGGCAGTAGCCAGGTGAGATTGTCACCTAGGGTTGGCACTTCCAAGCCTCTCAGCTATTCGCAAACGACGGAACATCGAAAATGTCCCAAAAGCCTACCTGGCCTACCCTAAACTCTTAAACCCAAAAGCCCAACAACCCTAAAACCCTAAATCCTAAGCCCCCAACGCCCTAAAGACCTAGTCACTTCAGGGATCTCCTGCACAAGCGTCTCCTGGACGAAGTGCTCGAAGGCTGCAGTACTTCCATACCTTGGCTCAGGGAATTTGGGGCTTTGGAGTTCTTGTCCTTTTTCTCTTCTTTTGGTTTTGGGGTTATAGGGTCGAGCAGTTACCACACGACACTATACTGTGTACTATATGGGTAGTTTTCTAGATTAGGGTCCCTTTTAGGGTCCTTAGCATAAGGGGGCCGTACCATATTTGGGACCTGAAACGGGACCCTAACTTAGAAAACTACCCAGATAGTACACAAAGCTATACTCGTTTGGCATCTTGCTGTGCAGTATCTCAAGCTTCAGCTTTGGACTTAGATGCGGAGCCCTAAAGACCCGGAACCGCAGAGGACATGTCTGCGCTGTATGGTATTCTACTATACTTTATTATACTCTACTGTACTATACTATACTGTAACAGATGATAGTGGTATAGTCTAGTATATCGTCTAGTACAGGTTTGTATAGCATAGTATAGTATAGTACAGTAGAAAATAGATTATAGTAGTAATAGTAAATGCTAGACCCTACTAAACGGATCATGGGACTTAGTCACTGGGTTGATAAATAAGGTAGCTCTACTTATACCTACTTATAACGCCCACTAAGGTACTTCTAGCCTTGCTTACTAAGTCCCCTCTAAAACCCTCTACCAATGCTCAGAACCCACAAACAACCCTGAAGGCAGTCCCATGCAGGCCCACAACCTTACTTGTTAAGTCCCCTGATCCTCCAAGTCGAATCCCAGCCCGCTAAACGTCCAAGTGCCAGGATTGAATCGCTGTGTGGACAAACACCGCGTCAAACTCCTCGGGTTTTCTCGGGCTTAATTCAGCAGTAAGGTTGAGGCCGGGGCTTAAACTTTTGTGGCTGTTAGGGTTTAGGGCTTAGGTGTTTGTTGGTGTTAAGCTCCTTTCTCAAGGGTTCCTTTACAGGGCAGCGGCACTGACCCGGCACTGGGGTTTAGTCCTACACTAAGTTTCCGCTGTCGCTTTGGGGGGTACAAGCTTCTGTTGCCATTGAACGTAGGACGCTCGCAGGACCACAACATACCGAAACAACCAAGCAGTGACAGTTGTTCAAAAAGTGACGAGAACCCTGTGTCGTCCCCATCTGTATACATAAACAATCTAATTCATGCAAGACCCTGTTCTGCTCACTGTGGCCCCTATGCAAGACGCTGCAAGACCCTGAGAAACCCCATTAACGTCACTAGACGCCTCTGATTAGCAAGGTCCCTAAATTGCGAGACACTAAGTTGAGCTCGACATGCGTGTAGAGGAGGACAGTGGCAGACCAAGGACAACTACTACTCTGACTCCAACTCCGCCTTCTATGACGGCGACGGTGGCTACTACTGCTCCTCCTCCCCCCTCCTCCTCCTCCTCCTCCTCCTCCTCCTCCTCCCAATGCTGCCACCGCGACCACCACCACCACCAGCGCCAAACACAGAGAAACGCGGCAGAGGACCCTCAAAATACGAAGATTCGAAGACCTTAAACCGTATAGACCCTAAGCGAAACCTTGGGCCGTAGGATCCTCTGAGCATTCAGCAGACTCGAGCTTGAATCGCCGCAAGTCTTGAAAGAGGCGATGCCTTTGCGCTCTTTTGCAAGATGCCACATGCTTCCAAAACTTAGGGGCCGTTATAGTTGGAATAGGGTTCTGCGGAAGTTAGAGTATAGTTATAGAGGGAACAACCGTGTGATTTTCGACAAGCTTGTTAACAAGGTTCCCCACTTCTCAACGATTAGAGTTTACGCGCGGGTTGGGTCACTTTGTGTATGGGTTTGTTCCTGTCACGTTCTCGGCTATCGCATGTCGTATCTGGAGCGTCCCTCCCGCATCCGCTGTCCCACCGTGTTGGCTTCCCCCTATAAAAAAACCCTAAAACCTAAATCTGAGCGAACCTTGATCGAAATCAAAACATGATATTTTCGAATCCAATATATAGTATAGCATACTAATACGGTTCAGGGTTTAAGGTGTTCAAGCACTGATGGATTGGCGGCAAAGCAAGACTGTTTCCTCACGCTTGGAATGTAATTGTATGGTTTTCGCAGAAACATTGCGGTTTCTAACCTAAAACCCTACACCCTATGGTCCTAGACCCGGATGAAAAGCTGAATTGAATTCTCAGGCTTTTCGGTCTTCTAGCGTTTGGGCTCTTCGGTTCAGGGATGCGGATTTCTGTCTATCTCGTCTTAAGTCTTAGGTCATCCCTCTAAATGTCTTTCACCTGAAATGACAGGAGCTGAATGTAGAAAGACCCAGAAGCTTGGCACAGAAGAAATATCGAAGGCCGTGGACGATGCCTTGGCTTTGCATCCAGCAGCAATTCTCCAGCAAGGACCGAGTGACCAAAGCCTGCTGCACAGTAAAAGCAGAGATGAGATGCATGCCACCGGGAGAAGCGCAAAGCCCAGCGGGAGCACGAGACCGATGAAATAGCCGTAGTCTGCCTGCAAGATGGAAACTGAATCCCTAAACCCTTACTCCTCATATGTCATAATGGTTCATGGCATGTGGTACTTCTTCAATCTAGTTACCAGGTACACCTCTGAACCTGTGCCACACCTTCCATCCGAATCGACCCTACCATGCTGGCCACGCCAGTCATTGAGTTCAGCTTGGTAATCGCACCTGGCTCCTAAAAGAACACACGAAGGCTTACAAAACAGGTCTCAGAAACCCCGAAGTCCGAAACCCGAAACCCCTAAACCCTCTTCCACCTGGAAGATGCCTAAACCCTAAAACCCCAAACCCTAAGCCCTGAAGCACAGCTACGCTCTAAAACTTTCCCTAATCCCTAAATCCGTAGACCCTAAACACTAAACCCTTAGACCCTGAACCCTCATGCCGTAAACCCTGAACCCTACACCCTGAACCCTTAGACTCTAAACCCTGAACCCCTGAACCCTAAAGCTGCTGCTCTTCCCAGGGACCGTCAGATCGAAAGCCAAGGCCCCCCAGTAGCAAATGACACAGCCTCAGTACTGGTTTAGGGTTTGAGGTTTAGGGGTTTAGGGTTTAGGGGTTTAGGATTTAATGGTTTAGGGATTTAGGGTTTAAGGTTTTGAGGTTTAGGGGGTGTCAGGGTTTAAGATTTACAGGTTTAAGGCCTGAGGGTTTGGGTTTAAGGGATGAGGGTTTTGGGTTTCAGAGCTTGGGTTGAAGGGTTTGGAGTTTCAGGGTTTTGGGTCTAAGGGTTGAGGGGGTTCATGTTGTCAGGGTTTAGGTAGGGTCTAGGATCATGGGACTTCGTCGCTGCATAGCTCTGTTGATGTATATATACACACATACACATACATACATCTCCTTAAAGCCCTCTGCTGACCCCCTAGTTATAGCAGTCGTATAAAGTATTTACAACATACAGCCTACTAGAATGCATAGTAAATCCTTTATAGCATATAGTACAGGATGCAATGCCATGTAGGACC